CACACACACACACACACACACACACACACACACACACACACACACACCTCTCGATAAAGGCTCAGGCGGTTTCACTGTTGTTCTGGAATAACTTTCTCGTCGTTTTCCACATGAGCTGTTCAGAATTTGTCATGCTCCTCTCCTCTGAACACCCGCCTAAAAGGTTTAGGCCCTTGTGGACACTTCCCCCTCGCTTTTGCCATTTTGGCTGTTTACATTGTCCACGTGAGCGATAAGTAGCAGTGAGTGCATGACAAGTGTTCTTCAGGCTTAAATCCTGGCTAGTGACGGCTGGTACTGACATTGTTGTTAAATCACTCTCCCGTTTTACTGCCATTTAACAGCCATGCAGAGAGGGACTTCTTGAAGGGATGTGCCATTCTTTACTCCACCAAATAATAGTAAATCAATCCTGTTTTTGACCAAAAGAGAGATGGTAGGGTTCTTGGTTATGTGCCGGTTTTGCCATTCACACAGTTTCTGTATTTCTGCTAGCTCACTCGAGCTTCCAAGCCTCTTTTAAAATTCTGAAAGCTGACTGTCCTGACCAACTAACTTTTCCTATGTTTTGCTTGTTACAATATCCATTATTGACACCCGTATCCTTTTGACTCCGGCCACGGCTGGTGATTGCCGTACTGGTCCTTTCAACTTGTAAATTACATCACTTTAAACAAAAATACCTGAAACATTTAGCCCAAAGCAGAGGCAAACTGAATATGTGTTGGGGAAAAAAAGAAAAACTAGATGAATTACCTTTGGCTGGTGCTGTTTTTCCTCTCCTCCCTCTACAGACATGTCTGCCCTGATCTCCTTGAGAAAGAGAGCCCAGGGGGAGAAGCCACTGGCTGGGGCAAAGATAGTGGGCTGTACCCACATCACTGCTCAGACGGCTGTACGTACGCTTCTGTTCACTGGAGGCCTCTGAGGTGTTTCCTTTTCTTACATGGGATTTTAGTTTGATGTGTTTCTGTATTCGGTTGCTCCCTCTTAGGTGCTGATTGAGACCCTGGTCGCCCTCGGGGCTCAGTGTCGCTGGACTGCCTGTAACATCTACTCCACTCAGAACGAGGTGGCTGCGGCTCTGGCCGAGATAGGTGAGGACTTAAGACTAAAGCTGTTAGCAAAGAGAAAAAAGCAACATGCTGCAACTGTAACAAAAAAAAGAACAATGGTATCTCTCCATTTCAACAATTCACAAAAACACCTCTGTTGTCACTCACCTCTGTGTGAGTTTTAATTTGATATGTTGTGGTTGTGTTTCCTGAAAGGTATAACAGTTAGATTTGTGCTCTGTCTTCTTTTTTCTGTTTGGTTTTTGTCACTAGTTTTTGTCATTCAGTTTTTTTTCTTTTTTTCCCTTTATGTCATGTGTCCTTCAGTATCGCTGGACAAATGAGTGCTGTAGTTAAATGATATGTTGTTGGCTTAAACTAGGTATACTTTTTGGGGATTTCATATAAATAAAACTCCTTTCCATAAAAGGGATAGGTTAGATTTTTTAAAACTGGGTTGTGAATTGGAAGTACTTTACCTTCAGTACGTAGAAACAAACAGAATTCTCATTCTCTGTATTTACCTGCTTGTAACACAGTTGTCGTTTCTGCCTCTGGATCACTATGACTCGCATTTTTATATGATTTATTTTTTAGGTTTGAGTTGTTTTAGATGCAGGAAATTTGCTCTCTTTTTGCACCTGCTCTCAGTAGCTTTTAAGTCGGCCCCACTATAAGAATTCCTTCCTGCTTCCAAGCACAAGTAAGGTTCTAACTAGCCATAAGAACATCACACAACCCCAGATAAAAAACAACACAAACTACAGTCAACAGTGCATGGTACAAGAAAAAGTGAGTTTATTTTGGTCTTGTTTACTGTGTTTAACGATAAAATGAAATGAGCCAAGATGACTTCAGCCTTAACAACAGCCATTTAACACATATGCTTTCACTGTGTAATGCACCCTAATGGATCTGTCCCCGTGCTGTGTGTTTCCTTTACTGCAGGCGTACCTGTGTTTGCATGGAAGGGTGAATCAGAGGATGACTTCTGGTGGTGTATCGACCGCTGTGTCAACACTGGGGGCTGGCAGGCCAACATGGTATCATCTGGACTGTCCCATGATATGTTTACTCTTGGCTTGTTTTCATTTTTAGAGTCAGTCTGATGCTGACTCTGGTCTATCTTCTTCAGATCTTGGATGATGGTGGAGATTTAACCCACTGGGTGTACAAAAAGTATCCCAGCATCTTCAAAAGAGTCCGTGGTATTGTAGAGGAGAGTGTCACTGGTGTTCACAGGTCAGATGAGGATAAGATCTGGGTTTTAATGGGAGACATTTAAATAATGTGTGAGAGACAATGTCTGATAGTAACTAAGAAGAAGGTGGATGACCCTTGCTGTGATTAGAAACCTAAAACCAAACATGTGGCCTCTTAAGCCAAAGATAAGCAACAGCATCTACACTAAAATGCAATCTAGGTTCCCATCATTAGCAACCGCTAATGAATGATGTACTGTACTGTATTGTAATAGAAGCAGTGTTACATAAGCCATGTTAGTATTGACACCCGGTGACAGGATAGACTGAAGAGCACATTGATCTTATTAGACTGGGGGCTATTTGAGTATTCTGACCAATATGATGTGCTCATAATGCCAGCAATCGACGTACTGTCCTCAAAAGACACAATGAGCCAGATGCTCAGGAAGGTGGAAGGTCATGCTGGACTGCTTCTCCCTCGTCATGGATATGTGCATGCATGTTGCATACAGTGATCTGTCTGAACGTGTGTGTCCCCTCAGATTGTACCAGTTATCTAAGGCTGGCAAGCTGTGTGTGCCAGCGATGAATGTGAATGACTCTGTAACCAAGCAGAAGTTTGACAACCTCTACTGCTGCCGGGAATCTATCCTGGATGGGTAAGCAGATTTAGTCATGAAAAAAAAAACTCTCCGCTGCTTTTTGTGATCACGTGAAACGGATCCAAATAAAATCAGGATCTGTGGCTTTGCTTGTCTCTGCCAGCTTGAAGAGGACTACAGATATAATGTTTGGAGGGAAGCAAGTGGTTGTGTGTGGTTATGGAGAGGCAAGTCATTCCTTGATTTAAAAAATAAATAATAAATCTCTCTTTACCTGAAACAATTGGATTTTCACTGGTGCAGCAGGCCTTTTTATTGCACGGTTTTATGGTCTGTAGGTGGGAAAAGGCTGCTGCACTGCTCTTAAAGCCCTGGGAGCGATTGTGTGCATCACAGAGATTGACCCCATATGTGCCCTGCAGGCATGGTGAGTCACTGCCCATTACCACTCGGCACGGGTCCATCAATAATTCTGCTCCACTGGCAGTTAGAAATATTTCTTTACGCTTCTGAATGTGTTCATCCACACAGCATGGATGGATTCAGAGTGGTCAAGCTGAGTGAGGTCATCCGGCAGATGGACGTGGTGATAACTTGCACTGGTATATGCAGTGACATCCATTATTTCTGCTTTGATGATCACAGCGTTTCCAACACACAAATACACGTCTTATTCAAGTTTCCATTGTTGAAGTTTTCTGGGTATAGCCCAATCTTCCATCCAAATGGTGAAATGCTTTTCAACTCGCCGCGTTAGACGACCATGTTCCTTGTTGTAGCAAATAAAACACATTCAAATTTGATTTATTCTGTTTTCACCCTCTGTGATCCGTGAGTGATGTCAACTTGTCTCTACCCTTTTTTGACTCCAGGCAACAAGAATGTTGTCACCAGAGAGCAGCTTGACCGAATGAAGAATGGCTGCATCGTCTGCAACATGGGCCACTCCAATACCGAGATAGATGTGGTGCGGTGACTCTTTATTTCTATGTTTGAATGCTCTTTGTAAATGCTGCTGTCTGGGAATTTCTACTTAAAATTTTAGCTTTGAGGTTCTGCTGGAAAATGAGGGATTAAAGGGCTTTTCAAATGCAAATGGTGGAAAAAGGGTGAAAGCTCAAAAGCCCCAGAAAGGTTAAAAGTTTAATATGCTCATTAACAAACACTGGCACAGGGAGACATTGACTTTTTTTCAATTCTGTAAACTGGTATATCCATTTCAACTTTGATTTAACAGATTTAATCTGGTTGTTTGGAAATCCAGGGTGTTTTGCCTCTTTTTAGAGATGCATTGTTCAGAATACCTTCATTAAACTCTGTTAAACTTCATTACCCCTGTGTCTCCCCCCAGCTTTTTAAAAACGATCAAATCCAAATAGGTTACGTCAGTATAATTTTTTATATCTTGCTATACAGATATGCAGCCTATTCTCCAATAGACAATCTACACGATGATCTCATGGATAAACCACATTAGTTTGGATTGTTTTTTTAATCAGACTATACTAAACTCCACTGCAGTCAACATCATCTCATAATGGTGGTTAAAAGATAAATAGAATCCTTGTTAACAGCCATAGCTGCAAACCCAGTGACAGGTGAAGATCATTTTACACGAACGCTGTGTTCTGCCAGATACATTTTGGATCCTGCTATTCATGTGGATATTATATATTTGCATGCGACCAATTTTAACATCGCCATGCACCCACACGGTCCTCATGGAAACGCAATTCCTAGATCACAGCAACCTCCTAAATCAGGACACAGCCTGTAAAACTGCCCTTGTTAATCCGGTTATGTATCTGCGGGGTGCCACCGCACAGCCTAGAGGACTCCCTGTCAACATCCCAGTGCCAGGCCCCGCAGGACTCCTCCAGAGGTCCTCTATTCATTGTTTGACGGGTCCGAGTAGTTGTGCTGCCACTCAATTTGAGGTTGTGTCTGAGTAATTACCTTTTGTGTTCTTAGGCAAGTCTGCGCAGCCCTGAACTGACCTGGGAAAGGGTCCGCTCTCAAGTTGATCACATCATCTGGCCTGATGGGAAGAGGGTGGTCCTGCTTGCAGAGGTGACCTCCTTTACAGCCCTGCAGTGCCCACACATCTGTACATTTTAAAATGAACCTCGTTCATGTATTTTCTTCTTCTGACAGGGTCGCCTCTTGAACCTGAGCTGCTCCACAGTGCCTACATTTGTTTTGTCCATCACTGCAACAACTCAAGTTAGTCGTCTTGTTTCCTACAGGAACTTTTCATTTGTGGGCATTTGCCTGTGGTTTCTGTAGCCGTGGTGTGCTCTGTTGTCTGCAGGCCCTGGCCTTGATTGAGTTGTTTAATGCACCGGAGGGACGCTACAAACAAGATGTTTATCTTCTGCCCAAGAAAATGGGTAAGCCTCTTCTTTTCTTTTTTTTTGTCTTTCAACCAAATGTTGCTCTCTACTGCCATCTTGTGACTTTACAAAAAAAAAGAAACATCTCTCAGTGAGCCGTGTGCACAGGATCCAGACAATATGAAACACAATATGTGTCTGCTCCTAGACGAATACGTGGCCAGTCTGCACCTGCCAAACTTTGATGCCCACCTGACGGAGCTTTCTGATGAGCAGGCCAAGTACATGGGCCTCAACAAGAATGGCCCTTTCAAACCAAATTATTACAGGTTGGTGTCACCCGGATGTATCCCTTTGTGCTCTTTTATTTCCAGTCAGCTCATATGTTTTAATTGCAGCATGCCAGCGTTGGAGCTTAAACCTGTGTGTAGGTAATGGAACTTTATTCTCTTCACAGGTATTAAGAAGACGTCTGGTTGGCTTCGGATGAACAGAGATGACTTTTATTTTCTAAACTGATACACAATGGAGGAATTATTTTACTTATTCTGAATGTAACTTATTAATAGCATTATTAATAGATTAAGACATATAGAGAATATATAATGTTAAACCAACTAACATTACGTCTTGTTGTGTGTTTAAAGAAAAGCCTACTTGCATGCGCTGATGTGTGTGTGTGTGTGCAAATTTAGTTGCAACTAATCATGTTACTAGATCACAGAGCGGTTGATTTGTTTGTTTACTCGATTTACACACAGTGCCAAACAAGGGCTGTATGTATGAAACATAAAAAAGCATTTATGCTTTGTTTGTCGGTGGCATAGAGATATAATGGGTACATTCCATGAGCCAGAGTTAAGGCTGAGCCCCAACAAACTCTGTGTTAGTGTGCACAATATTTTAGAAATGCTTGTTTTGTGTATTGTGAAGTCATCCCATTGAATGAAGTCTGCATACATGCCCTGAAAGGTACCATCCAGTGATCCTTGAAACCTAACACTACTACTATAAACAATATGATTATTTATTTGCAGAATTCATAATAACCTCTAAGTACCTTTTTAAATTCCTGGGCAACAACATATTAAGATGCTGTTATGTCTTAGCACATTCCCAGAAATGTCGTTGGACCAGTCCAGCATCTTCTAACTGCTGTAATCTCTTTTAAGTTTCCATTTGCTCATTCACATTCCACCTGTGATCTGTGTCACTGAAGAGCCTTTTGACTGGATAATGCCTTTTTAGGCCATGGAATGAATGTGCCTTTTTAAATCATTTACAGCTCGGTCTTCAAAGAGGTTGGGAAACAATGCAAAAATAGAACATGTGTGAAACTAGGGAATGTGATCGTATTTTTGAAAAACATGCTCATTTAATTTTTTATGTTTATAACAAGTTTAAAAATGTCCGTGTGGGGAAAAATTAAGCAACATAATTGGTGACAAAAACTGAAAAAACAAACAGAAGGAATATATTAAAAGACAGAGAGGCCTACAACTATTAAAACATTTTTCCACGATAGTTTGGAGTATAAAAAATTATACTGAACAAGAGGTGTTGATATATGTGACAAACCACAGCCTGCGATTCTTAAAGCAGGCCGATTGTGAGTTCGAGCCTGCATGCTAACCTGCTCTGCCCCAACCCAGTTGATCTTTATTTCACTTTTGTATACATGATATTCATAGTGGGCATTTATATTTGTTACAGTTACATTTCATTATTTCAACATTTTTTTAAATACCATTTTAAGAGATTTTCTCTATAAAAAGCCTCCCAACCTCTTTAGAAAACTGCAGAACAGCTAAACATCAACACTGACCTTAATTATACTGTTTTTTGTAAAACTTTTCTTTTATGTCTACCTTCAATTGCTTCTGCTTGTAATTGTAATTCTTATGTATGATCTGTATCTTGAGGAAAATATAAGATTATGGCACATGATTGTCCTGTCCTAATTTCAGTAACGTTTGATGTGATCAAAAGTGTATACTATATATAAAGATTAATGCAGAAAATCAGCAATAAACCAAGCCTTTTTAAAAGAGAATTGCTATTTCAAATTGTTTGTGTGGGTTTCTTTTTGGCTTTGTTGTCACACACTGTTTTCCATTGTTATTGGGCTAAAGCTGGCATTCATGACTTCTAATGCTTCCACCCAACTCCATGAATGAGTCTCTCCTTTACATTCTCCACATTGTTTTTCTTAACTGTCATCCCTGCGTCAAACGACTGGCTCTCTCTGGAATATTCACCGACTCTCCAGCACTAGGCCAGCTGCAGTAGTTTCTAATATTAGGAGGAGAAGGAGGGGGCAGAGAGACTTCTGGAATCCTTGTTGTAACTATATAAGCAGTGGGCCTCAGTGGGTCCCGGCATTCACTTCTGCAGAAGTTCAGAGAGACAGAGACTGGCCTGAAGGAAACTTCCGAAAGGACTTGCACCTTTAACAGAGAGCGATTTGAAAGTAAGTAACCACAACCTGGAGATTGTAGTGAGTGAAAAGTGTCTGTGTAATTCTCTTGTTTCATTTAGCAGGATAAATGCATAAGTTGAACTTTAAACTACCAAAATCTTCTTCAGTATTTTAGCATTAGTAACCTGTAGAAAACTGTTCCAGGCTTGATGCTGGGGGATTTTTCCTTTTTCAAATAATGTACTATACAAATATTTTATGAGCATCATTAAAAGTAGTTTGTTCTTATTGATGTGAGCTAAAATGCCTCGCAATATTTTTTGATCTGTTTAGGCACTTCAAACAAGATGTCCTCAGCTAAGGGAATCTCCATTGGCATTGATCTTGGCACCACCTACTCTTGTGTTGGGGTTTTCCAGCACGGCAAAGTGGAGATTATCGCCAATGACCAAGGCAACAGAACTACGCCCAGCTATGTGGCATTCACCGACACAGAGAGACTCATTGGAGATGCTGCCAAAAACCAAGTGGCCATGAACCCCACTAACACCATTTTTGATGCCAAGCGACTCATTGGAAGGAAATTTAATGACCAAGTGGTCCAGTCTGACATGAAACTTTGGCCTTTTAAGGTGGTCAATGACAGCGGAAAGCCCAAAGTCCAAGTGGAATACAAAGGCGAGACAAAAGCGTTCTACCCTGAGGAGATCTCGTCCATGGTCTTGGTTAAAATGAAGGAGATAGCTGAGGCTTACTTAGGACAGAGAGTCTCAAACGCAGTCATCACTGTCCCAGCTTACTTTAATGACTCGCAGAGACAAGCCACCAAAGATGCTGGGGTTATCTCTGGACTGAACGTTCTGAGAATCATCAATGAGCCCACAGCAGCAGCTATCGCTTACGGCCTGGATAAAGGCAAAAGAGGAGAGCGCAATGTACTCATTTTCGACCTTGGTGGAGGCACCTTTGATGTGTCTATCCTGACTATTGAAGACGGCATCTTTGAAGTAAAAGCCACCGCAGGGGACACACACCTCGGCGGGGAAGACTTTGACAACAGAATGGTCAGCCACTTTGTTGAGGAATTTAAAAGAAAACACAAAAAGGACATTAGCCAGAATAAGAGAGCGTTGAGGAGATTGCGTACAGCTTGTGAGAGAGCCAAGAGGACCTTGTCTTCCAGCTCCCAGGCTAGCATTGAGATTGACTCCCTGTTCGAGGGAATTGACTTTTATACCTCAATCACAAGGGCACGCTTTGAGGAGCTCAACTCTGAACTCTTCAGAGGAACACTGGAGCCAGTCGAGAAAGCTCTGCAAGATGCCAAGCTGGATAAATCCAAGATCCATGAAATTGTCCTGGTCGGTGGCTCCACAAGAATTCCTAAAATCCAGAAGCTTTTACAGGACTTCTTCAATGGCAGAGAGCTGAACAAAAGCATCAATCCAGATGAGGCGGTGGCGTACGGGGCAGCAGTCCAGGCTGCTATCCTCATGGGCGACACTTCAGAAAATGTTCAGGATCTCCTGCTGCTGGATGTGGCTCCCCTGTCTCTGGGAATTGAAACTGCTGGCGGTGTTATGACACCTCTTATCAAGCGAAACACCACGATCCCAACGAAGCAGACTCAGATCTTCTCAACATACTCAGACAACCAGCCAGGGGTGCTAATTCAGGTGTATGAAGGTGAGAGGGCCATGACAAAAGACAACAATCTCCTGGGGAAATTTGAGCTCACAGGGATCCCTCCCGCCCCCAGAGGCGTGCCACAGGTAGAGGTAACCTTTGACGTAGATGCTAATGGCATCCTAAATGTCTCTGCCGTGGACAAAAGCACCGGCAAAGAAAACAAAATCACCATCACCAATGACAAGGGCCGGCTCAGCAAAGAGGAAATAGAGCGCATGGTGCAGGATGCTGATAAGTACAAAGCTGAGGACGAGCAGCAGAGAGAGAAGATCGCCGCGAAGAATGCCCTGGAGTCATACGCCTACCAGATAAAGAGCACCGTAGAGGACGAGAATCTGAAAGGGAAGATCAGCGAAGAGGACAAAAAGCTGGTCATTGACAAGTGCAACCAGACAATCTCCTGGCTGGAGAACAACCAGATGGCCGAGAAGGATGAGTACGAGCATCAGCAGAGTGAACTAGAGAGGGTGTGCAAGCCGGTTGTGACAAAGTTGTATCAGGGCTCAGCGCCCTCTGGAAGCTGCGGTAGCCAGGCAGGAGGCGGCTCCCAGGGCCCCACCATCGAGGAAGTGGACTAAAATCACAGACCCCACCACGTCATCTCTGCAAAGGGCTCTCCACTATTTTCTACAACGTTTGTGATTTATTTGTCGTTAGTCCTGCCACAATAACAATAAAAACAGTTATGGAAAAACAACTGTCATTTGTCTATTTTTCTTTCTTAACCAATGCTGAAAACTGTTCAATAATCTGACACTTTTTGAAAAGTAAAATATGTCAACCCCCAATAAAAAAACAACTTTCATTTTATGCTTCCTTGTTGAAACTATAAGCTAACATAACCATTAGATAAATGTATGTTCTAAAACTCTTTACCTGAGGTCACCAAATAATATCAAAGATTAATACGTTTAAGACTTTTTGCCTTAAAATGTTATAGCAGATTTTCGAGCCACACTTTACACAAATATACAGTTTTCATGGTTTCAGAAGCTCAAACCTTTCACTGAACTGACTGCTGACGTTTTAAACTAGACAACTATGTGTGATAGCAGGCAGCAAACTTTACTGTGTCATTTCAGTTCAGTCCACTTTGTGTAATTTGAACACAATAACAGTGTTGATGCACTCCCTTACACACGTCGTTCCCAAAGCAAACCGCTAGGTGGAAACCTCAGGTTGTAAGTTGCATAGACTGAAGTTCCGACAGCTACCTGTTGGATCAAACTACATCCACTGCTTTCAAAATGAGTGAGAATAAGGATGATATGTAATCCTAAGAGTTTGAATAAAAGCAAATGGACCTGGATCTTCAAGGCGTTTCACCTCAGATCTGAAAGTTTTCTTCGGTTCTGAATGATAATGAAATGAAATTAATTCTTAACACCATGCTGGAATGCGTTACAGTAATTACCATCTGAGCAGCTGTACACCGGATTAACTGCTTTTGCTGTTATCGTTACGAGCTCTTAAATTTGAAGCCAGTGTTGTTGGTGCCAGAAAGCAGTGTTTCCCTAAAATACCAATAAGTGCAATGCATACCTGCCAACAAATGAACTAAACAGGCTTAATTTGGTTGTGTTATTGCTCTCATCCGTCACACACCAGTACTCCATCAGCCTTTCCAGCCGCCCCTGATAAAGGGAGTGGTTCGACATCACGTCAGCCCCCAGAAGCCAAAGAGTTAACCCGCCGAGCCTGTTGTTGAACGCGCCATCCATCCGGGTTGCGTCGCCAGGGCAATAAAGGCTGCTGGAGGAGCGGAGGAGCTACCGCTTCCCATCTGGAAAAACGAACTCACGCGCACATCTGGCCCCTTTTTTTTTCTGCAACGAGAAGAAGTGAAACCTTACCACGCGTAACTAAACGGGGGCTGGGCCGCTTCCAGACTCTTGTCTTTTTTTGAATGAAGAGGATAAAAGTTGTCAGGAACTGCCGTGCATTTGATAGCCGATGCAGATTTAGGCTGAGATTGGGCAGAGGAGGCAGACTTGTGCCACACCGTCTCCGACGGGCGCGCACATCCGTGCGTAACAGGCGTGACTAACAATTCCACCGGCGACAGCCAGCCTCACCTCCACAGACCTTAAACATGTCGAAAGCCCTCTCATTAGAGGACACGTTTACGTGTGCGACCTCGCAGAATCCGCCGAACTCGTTGAAACTACCCAATGAAGACATCTGAAGACACACAGGGAGACACACCGCCTGGTTTTTGTTGTGGACAGTGGGCTGAGTTCAGTCACAGGTGGTTGTCACTGCGCGTCTCACTTCGGCGCTGTCTGGACTTTCCTCCCCCCCAAAAAAGAAATTTGACAGCGTAAATAAGCTATAAGGATCGCACTGACCGGGGACTGACATGATAACACACCTTGGGTCATTTTCTGCCAGTGGACTTAGGTTTTAAAACAGAGAGGCGAAGAGCCGGAGGGTCTGCTTCTAAATGATAAGCTCGGTGTGCGTTTCGTCTTACCGAGGGCGCAAATCAGGCAACAAACCCCCGTCTAAATCATGTCTGAAGGAGGACATGGCCAGATGTGAAGACTCGGACAAAATCATCATCAACGTCGGGGGGATTCGGCATGAAACCTACAAGAGCACTCTCCGGACCCTGCCGGGCACGCGTCTGGCGTGGCTGGCCGAGCCGGAGCCGGAGTCGCAGGTCAGCCCGGACTCGGACGCCGAACCGGCCAGTGGCACCGAGTTCTTCTTTGACCGACACCCGGGCATCTTCGCCTACGTGCTGAACTACTACCGGACGGGCAAGCTGCACTGTCCGGCCGACGTCTGCGGGCCGCTGTTCGAGGAGGAGCTGGCGTTTTGGGGGATAGACGAGACGGACGTGGAGCCGTGCTGCTGGATGAACTACCGGCAGCACCGGGACGCGGAGGAGGCCCTGGAGATATTTGAGCCGCCGGACCCGGAGGACACCGATGACGACCGAGAGACCCCGAGGCGGTTCGGCATCGAAGACTGCTCCGACAGGTCCAAGAGCTGCTGCGAAGTTTGGCTGCCCAAGATCTGGGCCTTGTTCGATGACCCTTACTCGTCCAGGGCTGCCCGGGTGAGTCCAACCAGACGGGGGTTTCCACCGGCCCCTGTCATCCTCAGAGTCAGGCCGGTGGATGCACTTCTAGGGGGCAAAAATAGGGCTGTCCAAAATCAACAAGTGCCCCCATGAGGTTCACCAGGCAGCCAGAAACCGCTGCAGCCTGTTGCATGGCTTATATCAACATAAAACACCAGAATACACCAGAGAATGAGATTAAGTGATAGCCATAATCTGCCTGTCAAGTGCACTCATGTCCAGGTTTCTCTATAGACCTGATACTGTGCTCTCTTTAAACCTAACTAAAGAAACCACCATCTGTATTTTATATAGTCCACTTAACGAGTAGGAAAAAGGTAAGTCTGGTTTTGAAGTGCACATGACCGCTTTTCCCCCCGGCAGTGCCCTTGGCTAATTTTCAGATGAAAGTGGAAATGCTTTATAGGTTTAACACAAGGCTCTGAAATCTCCTGGTAACTGAAGTGTTTGTTTCTCCAGAGAGTGCGTGTTTTAGGACACATCAGCTTTCCGGCCACAGCTCATATCTGTACATCTGTTTCACTGGCTGTTTCCAGGAACAGATGTCCTGTGGAGAATATCGTCATTTTCAAGCATTGTTTTTGTTTTTTAAAAAAAAAGGACTTCCAAACAATGGTCTGACAGATTTATGATAAACTCTGGTTACCAATTAGGCTAGAAGAGATTCCTATCCAAATACAGGCCACACTGGATGGATCAAAGTCAGTAGTTGGACATCAATATACCCGACTCTAATTAAACTAGTCCGTTTTGATGGCCAAATGAGAGGAGTTGTTTGTTTTTTTGCTTAGGCCAGATTCTTCCACAACATATCAGAACATCATGCGTTGCACGTGTCTGCGGTCAGGCGTTACTGGTCACTCCACTATAAACCTTTTAGTCAACACCAGTCACTGGTGAGGGGCATTTGAAAATGAGCGGTGTTCAACAGGGCGTCTTCTCATAAACTGTGGTCCGATTTTTGGGACTTAATTATACCAACTTGTGTCTGGGGTCTCCACTCTTTTGTGTGGTTCAAAGTCAGTGCAAAACATGGCACATTTCTCAGCTATTTTATTCTCTTTGAAGGCCTGTGCTCCCTCTTATTGGCTCCCTCTGTCAGGCAGGGTCCGGTCGTGCAGATCTATGTCAGGGATGAAGCCAAAAGATCAAGACGTTGAAAAGCCCATTTCGTGTTTGTTACATTGTGCTGCTTTTTTCTTTATTCAAGGGGACTGAATATGCACAGGGGTGGAAACATAATGTCCGACCTATCGTTTCTTAATGTCTAAAAGTGAGGTTAAAGTGTTTTTCAGTCCACAGTTTAGCATACAAACCCACATGAAGCTTCACCTAATGAACCAAATCCGCTCTTTTTTTAGTTTGGATATAAAACAGATGTCTCTGTGTTGTAAATTGATCTTGAACTTGCTTTCCTTTCACAAGGGCCATAATCCAGCTGTAAGCTTTTGAAACTACCCTATATGCTTAATGGCTCCACAACAAAAGCAATAGAAGGCTTATGGAAGTAAACATGAAAGCACGTATCGAGTGTCACCAGCAAGGAGATATCGGCAAAAAGGGCCAGAAGGAAAATACATTTAGCAGAGAAACAGACTGCCACATCCTCTCTGTAATATGTTTGTCCACATGTGGAGATGAATGGACCATTCAGACCGGCTCACAATGTTGGACAATTTCTAATGTTCGTGCTGGGCCCCGGTCACAGTACAAACAGTGTCTATTTTAGCTTTTTGCCCAGGTGGCGACGGCCGGCTGTTGTGGAGCAGCGGACATCTCTGGGCCACAGCTGTCTCTGCTGTCAGTGTCACGTCAAGATGACCCGTGTCCTGCCGCCAGTTAAACATGGCCGTCTTTCAGCATTAAATGTTTGTACATGAGTCATTTTCATATTCGCACAGCCAGCAAACAACAGTGTTGATGCTATGGCCTAGTCGAGGAAAGGTCCATGCTGACCCAACCCTAATCCTGTTTTAGTCCATCTCCTCTCCAGGCATGTTCGCATGTTTGGTCTGTGTGCATTATGAGAGCACGCTCTCTGAAAAGATGCAGGGCTGCATTTTGAGGGACTCACATTACCTTTAAGGCCTTTTTATTCCAGAGAGCATCTGAGCTCAATTCAGGTAATTTGATTCCCCTAAAGTGGTCGGGAAGTTAATCTGTCCATTTTTAAAGCCACATCCTCTTCTAGATCAAGGTGAAGGTGCAAGTCTGCTGAAGTCAGCCCAGGCCGGCGGGGCTCACGCAGTCTTAGAAACACAGCAGAAAAAATATGAGGCTCAGAAGGATTGAATTCTCCTTATTCCATCACATCTGATTTTGAATTGTGCATATTTTGAGTTGTTCCCAGGTGTTTCCACGGCAACTCGACCTCATCATGTTACAAACCAGGCATTAAGCAATCTCTTTCTTGATAATCTAATTGCTATTATTTAAGCAGATCGCAGCCATGTTATGATGGCCTCTATTCATTTTCATTAAAAGCAGCTGAAAGAAACCTGAAATTGACGTAAACCTGTCTTAGATTTCCAGCTGGTCTTCATGTGATTTTACACTAGATATAGTTTTACTGCTGCTTGGCTGATTAATAAATGCTTTGTTCCTTCCCTTCACACCTGGGTTAGAGCCACAGCTGTGTGAAGCTGACACCCCACCCACGTCAAAAAATTCCGCAAATAGTCTGAATGGTTAGAGTTTTGGTTTCTGAGATATTAAAAATTGTTTTTTAGGTCATCTACAGTTCACCATCCCCCCATATCGCTCCAAAACAAACCAAAGTGGGCTAGTTCATTAGTGCTCCGTTTGTGCAGGTTTGTGCAGTTGAAATTTCCGTTTGTGCAGCTTTCGTTTTCGAGATATTAAAAGTTATAATTTTGGCCGATGACGTCACCATCCCCCCATATCGCTCCAAAACAAACCAAAGTGGGCTAGTTCTTTAGTGCTCTGTTTGTGCAGGTTTGTGCAGTTAAACCTGACGTTTGTGCAGCTTTTGTTTTCGAGATATTAAAAGTTATCATTTTGGCCGATGACGTCACCATCCCCCCATATCGCTCCAAAACAAACCAAAGTGGGCTAGTTCGTTAGTGCTCCGTGGGTGGGGTGTCAGCTTCACTCAGCTTAGAGCCACCTACTGTTTTCATTCAGACATGACAAAATTATTCAAATTTCCCAGTGTCAGATATTTGTTCGCTCTACATTCATTTCGCATAATCTGGGAACGAGAATGGGGGGATCATCCAGACTTACTGTGCTAATTTTAAATGCTTTTGATTACACGGTGATGATCGCTCCATAGATTGATCAGGAGGAGGCAGAAGGTTAAGATTAAGAAAAGTTGTTGAATGTCTCTTAGTCTATTTTAAGGAATACCAGCCTGTTAAATAGATTTAAATCAAATTCTCCTCATTCTATTCATGTGTCCCTACTGTCAGATTACTTTTCATAATGAAAACGATTGACACACGTAAAAATTGATTCATTAAAATGACGAACTGTCAGTTCTAGTATAAATTCCGTGAGTCTCTGATGCAACCCTAAACTCTGTAGTCTCACATTAGGCTTCATGTTAACGCTACGCTCAAGCCAGATAACTTTGCTAAATGCAATCTGTCATTAGTTCCCAGTCCTGCTGCTTGTAATTAATCACTGCTGTGGTAATGGACTATAAGTTTTTATCTGCAGCGGGCAATTACGGCTGCCTTTGTCACAGAAAAGAGCTGCACAATTTCCCTTTTGGGGAGGGAGAAATCAATGTCTCTTTCAAAAGTCCAAAGGATGGATGAATGTGGCATTGCTGAGGTGTCTGAGGCACCTTTCATTTACAACAACAAATCGATTTCAGAGAACGTAATGTAGACTTCCGAATTACTTTTAATTCAAATTACAACGATCAGACCCGGCTCACTCATGGACAAATTACATGTATTGAAATGGTCTTTATTTATTGAGACTAAACCCATGTTTCACTTTTGCTTTCAGCTTTTTTCATTTAATATTTTCAGTACTGGATTATTGACATTCACCGTGTCCTGATTAGATCATTATCACGGCTTGTCCAGCTGAGTTTATGCTGAACAAACGCTGCACATTACTGACATGTTTTCTTCATGCGACAGCCAGCAGACAAGTCCATATTTTCCCCTTCATTCCAAACTCTTCTAAAGGAGGCACCTTTCACAGCGCTGACACCTTCACGTGTTTCCCTGTTAATCGAAAGCAAGATTTGATGTTTCACACGTTCTCAAAGCAGCAGTGTGGAGCAGACTTTTCTGACACCAACTTCTCAGCGATAGACGTGTAATCCTGTGTGATTATGTGGGTTGTTTATTCTGCGCACTTCCAATCTGTTGGCTGAAAATGGTTCAGAATCATGAGGCCTGCACACCGGTGCAGACACTGTTTTGCAGAAATACGGTGAAAATCAATAGATGCAAGGAGTTGAAAGTGTCATCTTTTTTCCATGTTTCCAAAAGAGTCAGTTTGGTGAGATCGATTGTAATTTTGATGAAGAAAAGCTCACTTTGAATGAAGGAGTTTAAAGAATAATTCATCTTTAAGACAATGACACCACAACATATTATTTAAAGTGGATGATGGGATATGTGGTTAAGTGTTAGAGTAGAAAACAAGTTAGCTGTTTTACTTACATCGAATTGTTTGTTCTGTAATGTTAACAGAACAAACAATATGATGTGATACCGTTGTAAAAAGAACTGTCCCATTAATTTCTGTGTTGTCTTTTTGGGGGCTCTAAGGCTTTTAAGTGATTGTCAACTTAGTGTTCTCACCAGTTGCTGTTTCCTTCCTCTGTAACATGTTCTGTTGCCTAGTTTGCAGCAGCAGTGTTGATCTTTTCGTTCTTTACACCTCTCAGTTGGAACAATCTGTTCCTCTCAACCGTACTGAGTTGCTGGTGATCTGTGCATTTTATGCAAAAGGCGTGTTAAATGAAGCGCCAAGCACTGCCGAATATGCAA